TGTCAATGGATTTGATTGGATACTGGGACTTTTTATATTCACTGTTTTATTTTGTAAAACACATGATTTGATAATAATTACATGATAGGAATAGTTAAACAAATAAACAGGGTTTAAGTTTAACACAAGTGGATCATTCCCGTTTCTTAATTATTAAGATTGTGGATCAGTTAATCCTTTCAGTTTCAGGACATATTGGTTTAAATATTGTAAATAAACAGTTGTAGAAGTAAATAATGAAAATTAAGTATATAAAATTGAAAACTGAAAACAGGAAAGCGGATTTTTATATTTGACTTAAAGATTTTTATTGCAAGTTACCGATATTGTCATGTAATAAATTACTGATATACATTTTAATAATCCTGTACGACCTAAAATAACAAGAAGACTTATAATTAAGCGTAATAATTAGTTTATTAAATGTAATGTTTTGCTCATTTAAAGCATAACTTTAATTAAAATATTATATTCCAAATTACAGTTTTAAACGTTGCACCATACGTCAATTTAGAGTGTAAATAAATATGTGATAAGAGTGTAATAAAGTTCAATGTAATCAAATTTTGCGCATAATGAGATATATTTATTTGGAGACCAATTCAATATCAAATGATCTCAGATAATTCGTTGAATTTCAATTAATACGTTGCATTAGACATTGAAAAAAGTAGATGAAATTTTTGCAAGCGACTTATACAATGGGCTTATAACATATGTATAACATTTCTCTCTCTCTCTCTCTCTTTATATATATATATATATATATATATATATATATATATATAGTGCGTGGGTGTTTCAAGAACATTCAGATTCTCGTGATGAGACTGCTCAACGTATGCTGTCGCCGTTGGCCTAGTAACTCTTTGGACCCTTAAGGTCATTCCCCGAATTACGATTTACATTACGGTCAGCACAGCTTCATTGCCATGTTTATTTATGCGTTGTGTGTTTCTTGGGTACTCTATTACGCAAACAAGGCCAATATGTTATCTACGCGAAAATAGGACTACATTATCTTTTTCAATCACTTTTGCAAATAACTGGTGAGAAGATAAGGTGTTTTTCACATTTCATTAAAACCGCTTCTGAGCTCGATGCGATAAATCGACTTATATCATAAAATAATTAAAAATTCTTGTATGTTCCCAAAATGTCCAAATTATTTGTGTTCAAGTTATAAATTAAATAAAACAAAAAGAGAGACGATGAAAAATTATAAATCTATACATCTGTAAATAGATCGTTGGGCGTTAATGCAGCAATTAGTATATGTTTAATATCTCCTTTTAAGTGCACATTTCCTGAGTTTGGTTTTAATGGTGATGCTCGTATTCTAAATCAGGAAGTGTTCCGAAAGTTTTACAACACTCAATAATTCACTAAAATATAGTAAGTGTTTTATGGACCATTTGCAATAAGAAAAGCTTCACCATACCTCTGACACTACAATTTAACATAGTTCGTTCCAAGGGCAGAATTTTGGGTTAACGTCAATCTTTAGGGAAGTAATTTAACAAATATCTCGTATGCTCTTCAGTGTGCAACGTAACGCTGGACTCTCGCTTTCTGGCGTCGCGTTCCGGAAAAACGTTTGGGCAGATGAGGCCCCCCCCCGCCTTCTTTGCTGGTTCCTGCTGCAAGCCGGACGTCGCCAGCGCGTGGAGGGCAGGTTCTACCGCCTGGTGAGCAGATCAAGTCCCCGTCGCTGGAGGGCCCCGCCTTCTACTGGTTCCTGCTGCAGCCGGACGTCGGCCAGCGCGTGGAGGTGCAGGTTTACCGCCTGGTGAGCGCCGGCCGATTCAACGGCACCAGGTGAGCGGGTTGGGGCGTGTGGTTGGGTGAGGGCAGATCGATTCCTGTCGCCTTCTGCTGGTTCTGCTGCAGCCGGTCGCAAGTGTTTCAACGGCATCAGGTGTACGAGCGTGGATTATTGGATTAGCAAGAAAAGTTACAAGTCTGAAGAACAGTGTTAAGCGTATAAAATGTCCAATTTGGTAACTTTGTCTTGACGCAGAATGCAAAAATTAAGTGAATGCTTTGGCCAGAGTCTCAGAGTGTGTCTCGTGAACCGTATTGCTCATTATTTGGAAATACGATCATGTCACAGCCATGTGCTTGAGAGTATGTGAGACAATCTCTGAGGCCATTGTATCACATGATTACAGCGCTTAGCAAGATTGCATGTGCCCTGAAACTGGGTATATTGGGAAGGGCGGTGGTCTTTCCTTACTACAATCTGAAATCTGGCGCCGGCCTACGATTAGTATTGCGTAGAGTTTTCACCTTCAGGTTTTGCCCCCAGTAGAACTTCGCCTCACCAGAGGTTTAATCTCACGACTGGTCTCATTCTTGTGCATTAAAGTGTGTGTCTGTAAGGGCACTGGAGGAAGAAGGAATGATCAGGAGTGGTCCATGGCCCTTTTGTTAAAGTATTACTCTAGCATTAGACCTGTGTGGATTGGGGAAACCAGGAAAAGTTTCGGTTCAGAAAGGACGGTTG